CACTGCCAGTAGAGGTGCCAGAGAAAGAGCAATGAGATGAATACACCCATATCTCTCTCCTCCTTCCTATCACTCTCCTGATCATGTCTCCAAGTGACTCACTTCAACCAGAAACAGTAAGAAAAATATCTCATTGAGGAAGTTCATGGAAGGCAGGATCCTTCGGTGTTTTCAAACAGAGTAGAGAAGGACAGAATGGGAATCCTTACAGCAATGGATCAACTTTTCCCCATTACTTGCATCTTTCCACTTCTTGGCATTTTCTGTAAATATCAGTGAATCATTGCTCATTTCATCTCCATTGGAGTTTGTGTCCCTATTTGTGCTTTCTTCCTTTACTCTCACCTTTGTGGAGCATTCACCTCTTTGACCAAAAATGCCTTGGCACTGAATGTAAGTTAAAGAAGATAAAATGTTCTCCATTGGAGAAAGCATATATTTGGTTATTCAAATACAGTAATGACTTGATCAGGAAGTATTTTAGAAGTTTTATGGAGGCTCCAGGCAGCAGACTCAAAGGCTTCTCACATTGTTGCTTCCCAAATTCTACAGAGGAACCATCACTCTTGTGGTCCCACATAGACCCTAGTGCATCAGCTTTGCAGCCTTGAGGAAGAAGCAGAAGAGAAGAAACTATTCCTTGTCAAGTAATGCCATGATTCTGGAGTTAGTTACACCACTCTTAGCTTCTTCCTACAGGGTCCAATCCATAATCAATGATGCCTAAGAAGTGTTACACCTTTTTTTGTGATTTAAAATTCAGAAAATTACTGTATTACAGAAGACAAGAATAGATATGAGGGGGATAGTAGAAGCCTCTCAGTCTTCTTTTTAAAATTTATTTTACTATTATTATTATATTTATTTATGACAATGTGTACAATGTGTACAGAAACTCACTGCATAGATTGGACCCATAGTTATCTTCCTGTTTACAACCTGCCAAGTGCTGGGATAACAGGCATCCATGCCCAGTCCCAATGGCCCTCAGCTGCCCTGGGTGCAGGGCCAACATCACAAGCCAGGGGACTGAACTCCAATCCCCTGTGTTTCTGGCTTCTAACTTCGTCTCAGGCTTAGATTCAGATAATGTGTTTTGGGAGATCCTCATAAATTAAAAATTGACCTGCTAGAGAACAGTTGAAAAGACTTACAAGGCTCCCCACACTTGCATAGTGCATGTTGTTAGGATACGTTCTCAGAAAAATTCAAGTATTTATTTAAACATCAGTTTTTTGGTTACCTTTCTCTTGTTGCTAGAATAAAACACCAAACACTCAGAATTAAGGACTCAAAAGTTTCTTTGTTGTTTTTTTAAGTAGAAAATAGTAAAAAAATGCCTTATTAATAGTACAAAATTTCACTAAACAAAGTAATAGAACTTCAACAATGATTGATTGCTCTATTGCATGATAGTATCTTCAAATTAGGTGTTTAGGTTACCAAATATAAACTTGCAAAATTGGTTTCAAAGAAATGAAACAAAACAAAAACATCAACAAAATGTTACAAGAAATTTAAAAAATAATAAAAAGAAAAAAATATGCATTAACTGCTCTGTTGAAAAGACCAGCAGAAATTAGCAGTACAGTGATCCAAATTATCCTGAATATATACCTAAATATATCTTTTTCTCTTCTTTCTTTTGTCTTCTTCCTCATCCCAGTTTTTACTTCCCATTGAACAAATTCTTTGCCTTTCACAGTACCTGTTGTACCTTTTATTTATTCTTGCATATTCGCACACTAGTGAGACAAAGCAATGTTTGCAAATCAAGGTCTGATTTATTTCACTTACCAATACAGTCTCTAGTTTCATCCATTTATCTACAAAATCTTCAAATTTGCCCTTTCTTATATTTAAGTAATGGTCCATTGTGTAAAAAGACTACATAATTTTTACCATTCCTCACCTGATGTGCATTAGTGTTGTTTCCAAGATTTAGCTATGAAAAATTGCACTGCTTTACACAGGTGTGCACATATATCACTGTGGTAAGATGATTTTAGTTCTTTTGGAAAAATATCTAGGGAAGGAATAACTGGCTGGAAGGCAGAGTGGCACAAAGCAGATGGTAGCAGTTCATGGCAATAGAAAACAACAAATACAGAGTAAAAAGGGAAGAACAGTGGTAGAGAGAAATCCTCTCTCTTCTCCTTATATTACATTCAGTCTATCCACCCAGGGTGGGTGTAACACCCATATCTGTATTCTCAGCATTTGATCACGAATTAATCACAGCCTCTAGAAATCTTCCCCATCACTTCATGATGCTTTGGGGGGGGGTAGACATAAACCATAACACTCAGTCTCTTCCCATGTTAAGTGAGTGCACCACATCAGATTACTTTTAAAAAGTACATGTTAAATCTCAGGGTAAAAAAATAAAAATATCCAGAACTAATCTTTTTATGGAGCTTCAAGTGTGATGAGGTAGACATCACACCCTAGAAACAGGCACTCAAGTTAATAGATGCCTTAATGGGCATGATAGAACTATTTCCTCCCATTTCTACTTGAACTTCAAGAGTTTATGTTTCTCAGGGAATACATGGGGGATGAATTCAATTTGGATGCCTCTCTTCAGGTCAGAGAAGGATGTATGATTTTTCCAATTGTTTATGTCTGGCTCAGCTTTATATTCAGAATTTTAAGGCCATAACTACTTTTTGAAACAGGTGAATGTCCTTGGATTCTACAACTTGATATTTGAATTCTTCACCATTGTTTCTTGCGCTCTGTTTAACTTCTCTTTCTCTTTGTTTGTAGAATTAACTTATGATATATTTAATTTTCATCTAAAATTTTATTGTTATCTTTATCTTCACATTATTTCTCTACTTTTGTTTCATGTTATACCTGACACACAGCAGTGGTGACTCCAAAGGCACCATCAAAGTGTGGCCCCTAAGACAGATGTACTGTATCCAAATCCACATGGTGAGACCAAATACAAATTCCTTTTTGTGTCCCTAATTCCATTATCTTCAAAACTGAAAAATGCTAATTTTTCCTTCCAGGTTCTTGAGACCATTACAAGACAATGTCCTAGTGCCTGTCAAAAATCAGCAGATTAAAATCCCTGCTAAGGAATACTCAAGGACTGGGGTTTGACCCCCGGGTCTGCCAAGCCAGCTGCATCCCTCAAGTGTGCTGAGATGTCCATTGAGACTAGGCATGGTGTTGCACGTCTGTAATCTCAGTACTTGAGAGGCTGTAAACAGGAGAATCAATGAGTCCAATCTAGTAGTGAGACCCTGAATGCCCTGTAAACCCTACCCTAAATAGAAAAGAAACACACACACACACACACACACACACACACACACACCACAAAAAACCCAAGATAATACTTAATGAGTTCTCAGCTACCATTACTCATGCAGCTTCAGGCTGGTCCTCTTTTTGTACTAGGCATGTTCATAAACACCGCTCTTCATCTTACAAACCCCGGCTGTCTCTGCTTTCTCCTTGTGATTTTCTGCAAAACCTTCATCAAAGGAACTATACCAGGAATATCTTCTGAGGACATTGAACAGGATAGAGGAGAGTAAGATTCTGTTATACATTCCACAGTGCCAGATTTAATAGTTGCCCATGGCCATTGCCATATTTCTAATACTTTTTTCAACACTCAGATGCCAGTATAACTTACTACTTGACATCATTAGACATCACTTTAAATCACCAATTCCTCTTCTAAGCTGTGGAATAATTTAACCCCCTTCTGTGAATTGAGATGCCTCTACTTCCTATGTAAATTCATGCTTAATCCTCACTTTGAAAGCACTGCATTGGTCATCTTTAGATATTTGGGCACACATAAGCAATTCTTGTAAGCACAGATAGGTCCATAAGAATAATTATGGTAAGTGAAATCTTAACATGATATATATGTTTTACATTATTTTTTCTCATTTAACCTGAATCATCTGTAAGTATTCTCATGATTTCCTTCACTTCCTAAAGAAATATTTAGTACAAAATTTGACATAACATTGAGCCCTGGAAATATAAATGTCCCCTCATTTTCAAGGCTGACGCCGATAGCGATTTCTAGCTCTCTGGACCAACCATCCTCAAACTCTTCCAAACAAAGGTTATATTCTCTTAACAGCTCCATGGAAAGGTTTTTTGTTTGTTTGTTTGTTTGTTTTTCTCCAAGAAGGAAACCTTAGGGATAATGCAATAATTTCTTCTATATCCTTATGTATTTCTGTAATTGAGAAAAAATTCCAGTCCAGGGAAGAATAGTGCTGGGTCTATAGCCACAGCCTGCGGAGTCAAGGTGTTTTTCAGACTTTTCCTGGGTACTTTAGAAAACTTGCTTTTGAAAGAAAAATACCAGTCTGTAGAGTCAATAAGGACTATATTCACATCTAGTACTAGTTAATCCAGGACCACCAAGCTCTGGATATATTACTTAATAATTGTAACCTTTTTTTTAAAATAGGAACAATGATTCTCATATAACAGGGTGGTCCTGAGAATAAGTTACCATACTTCATGTTCTCAAAATTGTTTGTATTCTCAGGTACACCAGCGAGGAGTTTGTGAGTGTGACAATGCAAACAACAAATGGGTCGGTACCTACAACAGTGAATGGAACATACACGTCCTCATTTCTACATTGTGATAAGACTTTGATCCTAAATCTTCTGATTGTCATCATTGCCCTGGTGGGAATGGGAGGAAATGGAGTTGTCATCAGTCTCCTGGGATGCTGCATGCGCAGGAATGCCATCTCAGTCTACATCCTCAATTTGGCTGCATCTGACTTCCTGCTCCTCTGTTGTCAGTTTATTAACTACCTGTTTTCCCTGTGCTATAAAATTACTTATCATATCATTTTCAGCATAGCACTTATTCCATATATCGCAGGTCTGAGCATCCTCAGTGCCATTAGCGTAGAGCGCTGCCTCTGTGTCTTTCGGCCCATCTGGTACCGCTGCCACCGTCCAAAACATATGTCAGCTGCCATGTGTGCCCTGCTTTGGACCGTGTCCCTATTGTTTAGCATCCTAGAATGGTACTACTCTGGTTTCTTGTATGTGTCTTATAGTTTTGTTCACTGGAGAACGATTGATTTTATCATAGCTGCATGGCTGATTTCTTTACTTCTAATTCTATTGGTGTCCAGCCTATCTCTGATGATCAGAATCCTTTGTGGTTCCAGACGAATGCCTCTCACCAAGCTCTATGTGACCATTCTCCTCACAGTCCTGGTCTTCCTCATCTGTGGCCTGCCTTTTGGAATTTACTGGTTCCTACTATCCTGGCTTCCAGTCCATTTTTATTATTTTTGTCATTTTTCTTCAGTCCTAATTGTCCTGTCCTGTATTAACAGCTGTGCCAACCCCATAATTTACTTCTTAATTGGCTCCTTTAAGGAGCAGCACAACAGTATCAAGCTGGTCCTTCAGAGGGCTCTACAGGATTCCCCTTAGGGGAATGAAGGTGGGGACAGATGTATGCAGGAAACACTGGAAAGTTGGAAAGTGCAATGTCTTAGCGATGAATATCTTCACCTTTTATTACATATTTGCAGTTTTGAGAGTCAATGACGCAGTGTACCCTATTTTGTTAGACTCATGCCTTGGAAAAGCTGCAGTGTTTCTTGCCGTCTTCAATTGCAGTGTTTTACTTGGATTTTCTTGTGTAGTTTTTGATGTTTCTTAGAGAAAGTGCAAATACAATCCCTTTGATCTTATGAATAAATTTCTGAGATAGCCTTAAAATCTTTTTAAGCTTGTTTTTTAAAAAGAATAAAAAAGTAGTTTAAAAACACTAGAAAAAGTACAGCATTTCACTATACATTATAATAGGAATTTAACAATTCTTATAATGCTCAATGTTATCTTCAAATTAGTTGTTTAGATTACCAGGTGTAAGCATGTAAATTTCATTTTAAAAAGTTACATGAAATTAAAATGGAGAGAAAAATTTAAGGATTAATGGTTACTCTCATTAGAGTAACATATAACAGCAGTACAGTTATCCAAGGTATCCTGTATATATACATAAACATATATTTACCTTCTTTTTTCCTTTTAACATGAACCCATTAAATGCTCTTCTTAGAAATTTTTGTTACAATGGAAACTATTTATTTAAAACTCTATCCTGACTCCGCAGTGCCTCCCCCACCCCGCCCGCCGAGTAGGTTTTTCTGCCCAGTTCCGGGAGCCCCCAGACCCAGTCCTAGCCCAGGTCCGGTGAGTGTG